GAAGTTGTGAATGAATATTCATAGTTTTTCCCCAAAAGATCATTATCTATTATCCAATACATTTCAACATACATGTGCGAAGCTGTCTTTATTATACTCTAATTTTTTCGCATGATTGCATCAGTTTCTAAACGTTTTACTTTGTAAAGCTGATGTTTCTGCCTGTATTTGCGTCTGCTTCAATACATTATTGAAATGATAGCTCCCAGCACAGTTTTTGGTGGAGCTGGCTTCTCTCCTTATTCTTTTACATATTTTTTTCCTAGCTCTTTATTTTTCCATTTGAACTTGAAAATTACTTGTTTAGGTGAAAGAAAGAAAGACTTAGAAGATGAATTTGATTTCATTAAAGACAAAAGGAGTAACACTATAAGCAAATTCGAAAGACATGACAAATAGGGAGTCAATTTCTGTAACTCATATTCCAGGATAGAAGTTTAGTTCCCTTACTTTAAATCAATAAGGTGCAGAGAAATGCCCCTGTAATGGACAAGACGTAGGAAAAACATCTGACAAATGTGGTCTACGTACCCCACCATCAAAGGACAAGTGGTGGGTCTACTGAGAGCTCCTGGTCGTGGTAGAGAAGCTGGGACTGAAAGCGCCGTCGGCACCTAGAAAGCTGGCAAGGCCGTGTCTTAGGAGTGGAGGACAGTGATGGAGCAAATTACATGAGTGCAGGTTTTCTGCCGGAGGGCACTTTCCAGACACACATGGAGGGGCAATGCCCAGAGGCAAGGCAGAAGCTGATCTCTGGGTCTACAGGCACTGCCCAAATGGGCTGCAGGGGAGGAGCTCCCTGCGCAGATTTTGGTGCAGGTGTCTCCGCAGGTGGGTCAGCCGGACCAGGTGCACCTGGGACATAGTCCAGTGGGCTTCACCTCCATTACAGGCCAAAATGGCCCTGAGGTTCACTCTCTATGCACTCAAAGCCTGAAAACAGGCCTTAAAGAGGTCAGCTGACCTGCAAGTTACCAGTGCCTGGCCGTGCTTTGTAGAAGAGCCAAGATCTAGACACTGGGCATAGCCACCATTGAATTTTACTAGTCGTGAGTAGAAAAAGGAAAGCATAACCCATAACTGGGAGAAGAATCAATCAAAAAAACCCAGACATGAGAGTTAATACAATTATCAGATAAGGATTTAAAATGCCTATTTTAGATATGCCAGAGATTTAAAGGACAGTGCAAATGTAATGCAGGGAACAGCCAAATGGAAGAGTTGAAAACACCATATCTGAGATGGTCTGAACAGAAGATTTTTTAAAAGAGCACTGAACCTGAAGACACCCCAGTTGAAAATATGCAAAGAGAAACATACTGGGAAGGAAAAGAACAGACCTGAGTGACATGTGCAGAAAAATAATCTAGTCTGACAAATACAAAGTGTAAGCACCAACACTGGAGAGGACACCTTGGGTGGGTTTTTAAAATAATACCTCCAAAAATTTAACTGATAGCACTAAGGAAATAAGGTGGCAAACCATAGACTGGGGAAAAAATGTTGAGTATATATCTATATTTAAATATCTTTTACAACTGAAAAAAAGACTGCACTTTTTTTAATGGAAAAATAATTGGATACTTGAAAGACAAACATAGGAAAAAAGGGTTCATTAGACATCTGAGATCTGAAAATTAAATCCACAAGATGTTACTACACACTCATTGAAATAACTAAAAAAATAAAATTAGAGTCTCAAGCTGTCACCCTGGGTAGTGTGCTGTGGTATCATAGCTCACAGCAACCTCAGACTCTTGGGTGTAAGCGATTCTCTTGCCTCAACCTCCCCGGGACTACAGGCACCCACCCAAGGCCTGGCTGTTTTTTTGTTTCAGTTGTCATTTTAGCTGGCCCAGGCTGGGGTATGTGGCTAGTGCCCTACCCACTGAGCTATGGGTGCTGCTAAAATAAGTAAAATGTTTAAAACTGGCCATTCCAAGTGTTGGTGAGGATGTGGAATAACCAGAACTCTCGTAGACTGGTGAAAGCCTGAAAATCACTTTAGAGACCCTTTGGGCAGCTTTTTACATAGTTAATCACACATTTCCCATGTAAACTATCAATTTCTATCCTAACAAATTAGTCAGGAGAAATAAAATATTCATCTACAAAATATCCCTTACACAGGAATATCTATAGCAGTTTTACTCCGAATAGCCCCAAACTGGAAACAATCCAACTGTCCATCAACAGTGAATGGAAAAACAAATTATGGTGTACGCATTAGGATGCCACTTAGAAATTAGCTAGACAGGAAATCCACACTTTTATATATTTCATATAAAATGAAATTCTGACATAAAACTACAATATAGGGACAAAAATCAATTTTGCACTTGAGATGGGACTGGGGACTGGCTGGGTCAGGTGGTAGTGGGGTGTGTATGCCTGCCCCAGCTCACTGTCACCAAACTGTAGCTGCAACATAGGTGAATTATGCTTCGTAAATTTTATCTCATGAAGTTTATTTTAAAGGCCTACACTGAGAGCCAGTATTTTAATTCTTCTGAAATAAAATCGAGTAAAAATTGAAAAGTGTCAAAATACTCTAATGTTATGACGTAGTTTGTTTTTAAAAGGGGCCAGGGGCCAGGCATAGTGTCCCACACCTGCAGTTCCAGATACTTGGAAAGCTAAGGCAAGAGGATCCCTTCAGCCCTATCTCTCTTTTTTTTTAATCTTTATTTTATTTTTATTTTTTTTTTAAGACAGAGTCTCACTTTGTCACCCTCCGTAGAGTGCGTGGCGTCACAGCTCACAGCAACCTCAAACTCTCAGGCTTAAGTGATTTCTCCTACCTCAACCTCCCAAGTAGCTGGGACTAGAGGTGCCCGCCAAAACGCCCAGCTTTTTT